CAAAATCTGATATAGGCTGTACATATACATTCCTATTAAACATATTTTCACATTAGTGATGTTGTAAGTAAGAATTAGAACCAATTGGAGGAACCAGAATGAGGAAACAGAACACAACAGAAGAAAAAAAATAACAAATGGTATGCTTTGATCTGCATTCAAACTCCATAGTTCTTTCTTTGGATGTGAATAGCATTTTCATCATGAAACTTTTGGAGATGTCTTAGATCCTTGTACTGCTGAGAAGGGTTAAGTCTATCAATATTAGTCATCGTACAACGTGGCTGCTGCTGTGTACAACATTCTCCTGGTTCTGCTCACTTCATTCAGCATCGGTCCATACAAGTCTTTCCAGGTTTTTCTGCAGTCTGCCTGTTCATCATTTCTTATAGCACAATAGTATTCCATTACATTCATATATCACATTCACATTTATGATTACTATTTGTGTCTTTCTCTCCATCTTTCCCCCTCTCCCATTTATGCTTTTCTTTCTCTTTTCTCCCTTTCCCTCCTCACTAGTGTTTTGCTTTTGACCACCACCTCCCTTCTATTAGCTCCTTCCCTTTCCCCTTTTCCCTCCTTCTGCCTATAGGGCAAGTTAGATTTCTATACCTAATTGGTTATTCCCTTCTTGAGCCAAATCTGATGACAGTAAGGTTCAAACAATGCTCATCTCTTTCCCTCTTGCTACAACAGGTTTTTGTACCTTTTCCCATCATGTAATTTAACCTTGTCTGTCTCCTCCTTTCCTTTTCTCTCAGTACATTTTCTTATTTAGATCAGATTAATCCACTTACTTGGATCCATTTAACCCACTTAGATTTTTTTCCTCATTACATCAAAGTCAATTTATACTCACCCCCTTTATGTATACCCTTTTTAACATGGTATAATAACAATACAGCTCTCAAGAGTTATAAGTATCATCTTCCCTTGCAGGGATGTAAACAGTTTGCCCTTATTTTTTTTGGGGGGGGGCAACAGGGGTTAAGTGACTTGCCCAGGGTTACACAGGTAGTAAGTGTTATGTGTCTGGGGCCAGATTTAAACTCAGGTCCTCCTGAATCCAGGGCCAGTGCTCTATCCACTGTCCCACCTCGCTGCCCTCTCAGTTTGTCCTTATTAATAACATGTTGTTTCTTTCTGACCCATTTACCTTTTTATGTCTTTCTTGAGTCTTGTACTTGAAGATCAAATTTTTGGTTGAGCTCTGGTCTTTTTATCAGGAAGTTTTGGAAGTCCCCTATTTCGTTGAATATCCATCTCCTCGCCTGAAAGATCATGCTCATTTTCACTGGGTAGTTGATCCTTGGTTGTAATCCAAGCTCCTTTGCCTTACGGAATAACATATTCCATGACCTATGGTCTTTTAATGTAGAAGCTGCAAGGTCCTGTAATCCTAACTGTGGTTCCATGATATTTAAATTGTTTCTTTCTGGCTGCTTGCAGTAATTTCTCTGACTCGGTAATTTTGAAATTTGGCTACTACATTCCTTGGTGTTTTCAATTTGGGATTTCTTTTAGGAGGTGATTGGCGGATTCTTTCTATGGCTATTTTACCCTCTGGTTCTAGGACCTCAGGGCAGTTTTCCTTGATAATTTCCTGAAGGATACTGTTCAGGCTCTTTTTTTCATCATGATTTTCAGGTAAACCAATAATTTTTAATTGTCTCTCCTGGATTGATTTTCCAGGTCAGTTGTTTTACTAATGAGAGATTTTACATTTTCATCTATTTTTTCATTCTTTTGTTTTTTGTTTGACTGATTCTTGCTCTTTCATAGAGTCATTAACTTCCATTTGCCCAATTCTAATTTTTAACAAATTGTTTTCTTCTATTAGATTTTGTACCTCCTTCCCCATTTGCCCAATTGTATTTTTTAGGGATTTGTTTTCTTCAGTGTACTGTTTTCCCAGTTGGCCAACTGTATTTTTTAAGGACTTGTTTTCCACAGTTAATTTTTGTCCTTCCTTTTCCAAGCTACTGACTCTCTCTTGCATACCTCTCATTTCTTTTCTCATTTTTCTTCTACTTCTCTCATTTGACTTAAAATCCTTCTTGAACTCTTCTAAGAAGGCTTTTTAGGCTTCAGACCAGTTCATATTCCCTTTTGAGGTTCCAGATGTGGGTTTGTTTACAGTGTTGTCCTCTTCAGAATTCCTGCCTTGATCTTCACTCTTCCCATAATAAAAATCTATCAAACGTTTCTTTTTGCTCATGGTGTTGCTTATTTCCTGGCCTTTAAGGAGACTGAGCTCTCCTGCTGGGGAGCAGAGGGCACCGACCCAAGCTTCTTGTGTTGAGAGACTAGGACCTGGTCACTGGCTTTGTGTGTTGGGGCCTCTGATGCTGGCAGTTGGATGCCTTAGGGTTCTGGCAGCTTACCTGGTGTTGGGCTGGAATGAGCAACACTGGAACTCTAGGGGTAGGATTGGATAGGGTAGAGATTTCCTGCTCACTTGGGCCTTTCCTTTCTTTCCCTTTCTTCAGCTCCTTTCAGACGGATGTTGCAGGGTGTTTATCTGCCTGGGGCCCCTTGGAGTGCTGCTTCCCTTAGTTTTGCTAAGCCACTGGGAGACCCAGTGGCTGCAGAAGGCCAAGGCACCTGGTAGTTTTCTAAGCTGGTTTCCACCGGTTCCCCTGCCCTCACGCAGGCACTTGGAGATCCAGGTGTTGGTGTTTGCCTGCTCCACCACCTGGGTTTCAGGATCTCCTGCTGGCATGCTGAGGTGGGCCTTTCCGCTACCTTGCTGGGATGCCTCCCATTCTGTACTACTCCCCTTTCCTCAGGGCAAGAGGGGCCTTTCCCATTAATCTCTCAAGCTACCTGGGCTACAGGACTGCTGCACCTCATCTTTCTTCTGGTTCAGCTGTTCTAGGGTTTTTCCTGGGGTGACATTCTCTGGGCTTTCAGAAGTTAATAAGGGAGAGTAAGCATATTTGATGACTTTTTTTAAATCAACATAAATAATGAGATCAAGCCCTTAAACCACTAGCTATGTCTCCTCCTTCCTCTCAGCTCCACCCAATGTACAATAAGAAGGCTTACAGGCTCACTAGTGAGATGCCAGCTAGCAGATCTGAATTTAGAAAGGCCAAGGTCATCCACTGCATCCTGGGCCATGCCAGCTGTCTCTGTCTTTATCCTGCCACTAGACTCTGACGACTGTGGAGAAGACAGTGAGGCTGGTGACTTTGTGCCAGTAAGGAGCTCCTCACCATTGCCTGAAGGAGCACTATATCCAAGGAAGGGCTATAGGAGCTGAGACAGACTGTAGGAAGCAAGGAGCAGCAATGGGACAGCGGAAATGGTGATGGAGAGGGCAGTGCTGATTGTGACCACCACGGGTTGAGATCAGAGCCTTTAGGCATGACAGCCTGACAAATGGGTTGGCACCACCAGACTGCGGTAACCATGCAGGAGTTTTCATTTTGTGGGTCCTCCTTCCTGCCCCCCACTCCAAGGAAAAAGTTAACACTGAATCCAGGAGATCGTATCTCATTAGCAGAAAGTGGCTTTCTCAGTATAACCACCTGGCTCTGGGAGCCTGGTATTCCTAACACCTGTTGTTCTGGTTCTCCTATGATGGAATGGTCCTAGGTAAGCCGCTCAGGTTACCCACCCCACCCCCACCTGCATTTGTATTGGGATGAGCGTCTAAGAGGGGTTAGCCTTCCAGCACCGTCGCTACCCCCCTCCCCCCAGTTTTCTTACACTTGACGCCCCCTGAGGACCCTGTTAAGGTTCTCCATCTCCTAACTCTGGGAATCCTCTGTGGCCGTCCCCACACCTGGATTGCTCTCCCTGCAGCCCGGCTTCCTTCTAGTCCTACGGGGGACCTTCCCCAGACCCTCTGGACCTGGTGCCTTCCCTGTTAATTGCTTCCTATCTGTCCCGTACAGAGCTCGCCTTGCACGTTGTCTTCCATGTTAGACTGTAAGCTCCTTGAGGGCAGGAACCGTCTTCTGCCTATCTGTACGCCCAGAGCTCAGTTCTCGGCACACACGTGCCAGATGGCCGCCACCCCGTGACCTGACACGCAGCCTTCTGGGAAATGTAGTCCAAACTCTTTGCATGTTTCCCTCTCCCGAGTCCGGGACCCCGCGGTAGGAAAGCTCGCAGCCGTCTGAGGCCAGAGGGGAAGCCCACGCGCCGGGCCTCGAGCACTAGGCCGATCCCCGCCCAGGACAGGTTAGCCCCGCGATGCCCGTCTTCCAAACCAGGGAAGTGCCGGTCTGGGCCCGCCCTTGAACCCCGTTCTGCCCCGACCCCCTTCCACGGCCCCACCGCTGTGTAAATGTGCACAGTGTGAATCTGGGGGGCCGACCACTCCGGGGCTCCCTCCCGTCCCGAGGCTCGGCTTCGGCGCGGGCCGGTACACGAGGGGTTAAACGGCGGAGGCAGGCTAACTTGGGCCCAGCCGCCCTCTGTAGCTCCGACCCCGCCCGCTCCGGCAGGGCGGTGCCTTCCCCAGCCGCCGGCTCCCGGCGACAAGGGGCGGGCCCAAACAAGGGCCGGGCCAATCGGGTTGCTGCTGGACGGCGCGCTAGCCAATGAGAGCAGGGAGCGGGGTCCCGGACTAGAAAGGCGCAGCGGCGGGGAGGGGAGGCTGGGACCATGGGGCTCCTGACCATCCTGAAGAAGATGAAGCAGAAGGAGCGGGAGCTGCGGCTCCTCATGCTGTATCCTCGAGCTCACAGAGCCCTCGGGGTCCGGGGGCGAGGGAGAGGCGCGGGCGGGTGCTACCATGCGCTCCTACTGGGTGGGGGGAGGGAGGACGCGCCGCTCTGGGCCGGGCCGGGACGTACCAACTGCCCTGCGTGGGTTACGTAGCCGGGAGCAACCAATAGCCTTTGGAGGGGGTGGGGTGGGGATTGGTCCGTACTATCCAGGCCCAAAACGGGGGAGGGCTGCCTGTAGGGACTTAAACCAAATGTCCCCAAGCAGAGGGGGGTGCAGGGAGAAAAGTGGAATGGACCACCTGCTCGGGGGGCACGGGAGGGAGCGCGTGGAGGTGGGAGATGGCAGGTGGAGGACTCAGAACAGGGAGTGAGTGGAGCAGTCCGGCCGAATCCTAGCGTGGCTGTCGCCTGGGAGGGTCTCGGGAGCCCTGCCGGGCCGGATTGTCCGCATGTGGGCTCTCGCTAGACTGGCAGCTCCCGGAGGACAGCCTGGCACACAGTAGGCACTTCATGAATGCATGTTGCCTTCCCTCCCAGAGCCCTTTCTTGTAACCCTTCCCTCAAGCTTAACTTTGTGCCAGTCTAGTTCTGTCAGTAGACTAGAAACTGCCTGAGGGCAGGGCCTGCGTGCCTTTTAAAAATTATTTATCTTGGCACCCTAGTGCTGAGCACACAGTACGTGCTCAACTTATGTTTGTAGAATTGATGGGATCCTTTCATTTCTGCACTAGACGCTCTAGTCCTGTTTCTGTATGACCTTGGGTAAGTCACTTCCCTCCTTTGGGAGGATTGGAAGGCTTCCTTCCCAGAGGTTGAATGGGTCACTGTCTCCTTAACCCCACCCCCCAGCGGTCTGGACAATGCGGGGAAGACCACCATCCTGAAGAAGTTCAACGGGGAAGACATCGACACCATCTCACCCACCCTGGGCTTCAACATCAAGACCCTGGAACACCGAGGGTGAGGGAGACCCCGAGGCCCACTCGCTCACGCCCCCGCGTTCACGATCCGCGGCACGGCCTGACCCATCCATCTCTCTGTGCTTTCCCCCTCTTCCTCCACCAGGTTCAAGCTGAACATCTGGGATGTGGGTGGCCAGAAGTCCCTCCGCTCCTATTGGCGGAACTACTTCGAGAGCACGGATGGCCTCATCTGGGTGGTGGACAGTGCTGACCAGCAGCGCATGCAGGACTGCCGGCGGGAGCTGGAGAGCCTGCTCGTGGAGGAGGTAGGCGACGCCTGGGGCTGGGGGGCCAGGAAGAACGGGGGCACAGCCTGTCCCTGTCCGAGTGGGGAAGGAAGACCACTCTAGGGCAGAGCACACTGAGCCCTGCCTTCTTGGGACACTGAGGCACAGAAAAATAAGCTCCTTGAGGGCAGGGACTCTTGCTTTTGTCTTTGCATGCCCAGCACCTAGCAGAATGCCGAGCACATAGTGGGTACTTAATGAATGCTTGCTTGGTTGAAAAAAAGATCACAGATCAATGTTAATTTGAATCAACACACATTCATTTCCTGCTGTGTGCTAGGTACCGTGCTAGGCACTGGGGAGTAACAAAGATATAAGCACACAATCAGAGAGTGTACCGGAGGACGTGACAATTACACAGGCAGGACACAAAGCAAAGATTCTGACACGAGGTTACGGAGGGAAGAGGCCAGATGGCCAGCAGAAGAAAGTGGATTGGGGAACCCAGGAAGGGAGTCACATGACAAAGCTGGAGAAGGAGACGGGAACTGGGATGCCAGGCAGCCAGTGAGGAGCCATGGCAGCGAGGTGCCCTCCCCCCCACAGATGCTGAGTCCAGCTCTTCACCCAGAGACCAGGCAGCTGCTTCCTGTGGAGTGTTTTTGGTCATCACGTCTCACTGTTTGCTACACAGATGCACACGTTGTGCACATACACGTACACGTTATGCATACACGTAGAGCATACAAGTGTCCACTGATTCCATTCGTGTCCCTTTCCCCCACCTCCCTCATGCTGCCCTGGCAGCTGTGCCTAGAGTGGCTCACAGTGGGCTGACCAGCTCAGAGCTCCCTGGGTCCCTTCTTGGCCCTACCGCCACCTTTCTTTCCCTCTTAGCGCCTGGCAGGAGCCACTCTCCTGATCTTTGCCAACAAGCAGGACCTCCCTGGGGCTCTGTCCTCTAATGCCATTCGAGAGGTGAGTTGAGGCCTCAAGGGCCCTCGAGGGGCTGGCTGGGATGGAGGGTTGGGGGGCTGCTTTCTGAGGGTTGCTGTCCCTCCTTCAGATCCTGGAGCTAGACGCCATCCGCAGTCACCACTGGTGCATCCAGGGCTGCAGTGCAGTGACGGGAGAAAACCTGCTTCTGGGGGTTGACTGGCTACTGGACGACATCTCCAGCCGCATCTTCACTTCAGAGTGACCCCCCCCCCCAGCTCCTGGACTGACCCTGAAGGGCGGCCCCTCGACGCATCCCTGGCTCCTGCAGACCATCCCTCTGTCCTGATCCTGTCTGGCCCAGGGCCCCGCAGGGAGCCAGGACTGGAGGGGGACAGAAGCCCACAGGACCCCCACTAATGCCTCCTTCCCCATGTCATAACCAGATGCTGCTCGCGCTGTTTAACAGGAGAGACCCTGCTGCTCTGTGGGAGCACCTTCCTCCCTGGGGAGGAGCGGCCCCCATCCCCTAACCCTTGTCCCTCCTGCAGCGCTTTGTCTGTGGATTGGTGGAGGAACGGGAAGAGCTGCCCTGCCTCTCCAGGGCCCTTCCTCAGCTCGGCTGTCAGAATAAAAGCCCTCTGTGCCCCTGGCTCCTGTGGTCTCCTTCCTCCCCGGGTCCCCTGCTGCCAAGGGCTGAGGCTTCCACACACTGTCTCCCCTTTGTGCCCAGAGAGAGGCGTGGCCACGAACAGAGCACCCCCAAAGGCTGGAGGAATCAGCGACATTCTTCCAGAGAAGGACGTGGCCACCCCCTGCCAGCAGTTGGGGGATAGCAGGAAAGGCCACCTCCAGAAGGCAGCTCTAGAACTGTCTGGGAGGATGCTGGAAACTCGTAAGAGGACGAGCGTTTCACACGTGGGCCTCTGTGGCCAGCGGAGGGTGTGGGTGAGGAACAGGAAGAGGCTGTTGGCCAGGGCTGACCAGGCTTCCCTAGATGACTGCTGAGCTCCTGGGATACTGCCCTCTGGGCCCTGACCTGCCCCTCCAGCTTTTACACTAATTTTTCTGGAAAATGATCTGGTTTTCACTTAGACGTGAAATATTGGAGATGGGAGTAAACTTGGAACCTAGGATGTCAGAGATGGGGTGGGGAGGTGATGAGACTTTAGAACAGGGAATGTCAGGTGGGGAAGGCATGAGAGCCTCTTTTCCGTCAGGAAAGGGTCATCTTCACACTGACCAGGGCAGAAGAAATGGGCTTAGGAGAGAATTGAAGCTGAAGAGAGATGAGGAGATGGCAAAGGCATCTGGGAGCTTGCAGCAGCGGGAGCCCCCGGGCCTGAGTAATTATGTCCAAAGCTGCAGGCTGTGCTAGAGCCGAGGCCGACGCCTCGATGATTCAGTTAGGTAAGAAGGCGCCAATCCCCTGCTCCAGGCACAAGGTATGGGTGCCGCCCAGAGCAGCACTCGGACTCCTCTACAAGGAGAAGAAAGGATGCTCCCAAGTGTAGCTCCCGAGAAGGTCATCTGTTGGTCCGGCCGCAGCAAAGGTCGGTTCGTGAGCCTCCGACACTAACAGCGAGCGCTTAACCGGCGGTCATTTTGTCCTCGTGACAACCCTGGGCCTGCTATGGTCTCCGTTTTACAGAGGGGGACACTGAGGCACAGCCAGGCGCAGGAAGCACCTGGGGCGGCACTTGAATTCCGGGCTTGCATTTAGGAGCTGTCCAGCCCTAACCTAGGACTGTGCCTAGATCACTGCCTTTGAGCAGTTTACATGGGTTGGGAGCCCTCGGCACTAGCAGAAGAAGGGAGGCTCATCACCGGGACCCGCCCACTTGGGCTACCTGGGGGCCGGGCTGAGCTGCTTGCTGTCTGACGGACAGACCTTCCTTGGACTGATCGTTTCAGCTCGGAGTCCTGTGAATTGCTTGGCTCAGTGCCTGGCACGTAGTAGGTGCTTCATAAACGTTTGTTGCCTGGAGTCCGAGGCACTGATGGCCTTCCCCAGGCTCCAGGGCCACTATCGAGTGGCTCATTCTAAGCCTTTCCGAAGAACACAGAGTTTTAGGACCGTCCCTACATTCAGCATCTCCTGGAGGGTGGGGTGGGGTGGGGTTCAGCGGGAGAAGCCTAGCAGAGTCTTGCGCACGCGCAGAAGAGGCGGTGCCTGTCGGAGGCTGGACGGGAGGGGAGGGGACGGCTTGGAGGAGGAGGCCCGCGGCCAGGCCGAGGCGCCGGGGTCCGCTGGGCTCCGGCTCCTCAAGGATGTCCCTCAAAGCAAAGGACGACTTCCGGCGGCTGTATACAGTGTCGGACACGCGGACCCATCCCAAGGGCTACACCGAGTACAAAGTGACCGCCCAGGTGAATGAGGCACAAGGCTCCTTTAAGAGGAGGGGGCCTTTTAAGTGGGCGGATCCGGAGTGTCAGGTGGGGGTGGAGCCTCTGCGGGAATTTAGGACTACACTAATTTACGGGAAAGGGAGGGAAACGTCGTCTGGGTTCCTTTAACGGTGACGCGAGGGGGCGGGGCCAGGGTGGGCGGGGCCCCAGCTCCAGAGTTGTTTGGGGTTGCCCTTACTTTATGTAATCCGCCTTATAAAAAGCTAGGCGCTGCTGCCTCTCTTTGCGAAATGACTCTCCTTGCAGCCCCCAGAGCACGGCGGGTGGCTGGGGGGGGGGAGCCGCTGGGAAAGCCTCAGTTTCCTCGTCTGTGAAATGGGCTCCTCCCTCACAGCGGGATTGAGTTGAGACAGCAGAGGTCGCGGACAGTGAAAGCTCCCCCAGAGTTACGCGCCCCGGTTAGCGTCCCTGGCACATAGTAAAACTTCACCTCGCTGGTTCCTGGCCAGTGTTACTCCTTCTTTCTACGTAATTAATGGCGCAGGCGGGGGTCGTTTGCTGGGTTTTCTCCCCCAAACCGGACGTTCAAGGGTGGAAGAGGCTCCGTCTCCCGCCCCCCAAATCTACCCACTGCTCTGGGGGTGACTGCTGCGCCCCCTTCCTCCTCCCTTCCGTCTTGGGAGGGGCTGTTACAGCATTTTACAGATGTGGAAACTGAGGCTTGGAAAGGTTTAAGCCACTTGCCCAAGGTCACACAGCTGGAACCCTTGTCTTCCTGACTGCAAGTCTATTAAGCACCTCTATTAATAGTAATAACTATAACCACATTGCCATCATTGCGCTTTAAGATTTGCCTCGGTTTACCTGCTTTCTCATTTGATACTCATAACATCTTGGGGTGGGGGAAATGTTGTTGTCCCCATTTTACAGTGGAGGAAACTGAGGCAGCCAGAGGTTAAATGACTTGCCCAAGGTCTCAGGCTAGAGTTGAATTCAGGTCTTCCCAAATCTAGGATCCAACTCTCCCCTGACTGCAGTGTTCTCTTCTCCCCAGTTACCGCAGAGACGAGGGAAGCTTTGTCCTTCCAAGTGGGTGGGCTGGGGGGGGCCGGGCAGGGGACCAGGCCTGGATAGCCCCTTACCTTCCCTGGCTTTCTTCTCTCTCAGTTCATCTCCAAGACTAACCAAGAGGATGTCAAGGAGGTAACTCTTGAGAAGGGCCCCTCCCATTGTGACTGGATACTCCCCGTGGGGGAAGCTGTTTCCTGAAGGCAGCCCCCTTGTCTAAGTCCCGGGTGGTAGGAGGGGGCTGCCTGGGCCCAGCCCTGAGGGTGGAAGGACCACCTCTTAGACAAGTCCTGTCCCCTCTCGGGGCCTCAACGGGTCTGAGGCCCCTGCGGCTCTCGGTGCCAGGCCGTGACTTTTGGTCCCCTCTCTGGCCCAGGTGGTCATCTGGAAACGCTATAGTGACTTCCGCCGCCTGCACGGGGATCTGGCCTACACCCACCGAAACCTTTTCCCGCCGCCTGGAGGAATTCCCGGCCTTTCCCCGGGCACAGGTCTTTGGTGAGTGTCCTCTGCAGGGGGCCGGAGGTGGGGAGCCCAGAAGTCCCAGACTCCCCTGGACTGTGGGCCCCCCACAGGGGCAGGCAGTGGGGAGCCCTGGGCCACCCCAGGAGGTTCCCTGACCCTCAGCCAGAACCGCCTCTCCCTGCCTCCCCCTGCTCCTGCTTTTGTCTTTGGGGGCCCAGCAGGACACCAAATCCCCTCCTGCATGACAGCTACCGCTGAGCCCACACATCCATTACAAGCAGGAGGGATGAAAGGCTACAAGGGGTGATTAAGAAAAACAAGTTTTAATTGAGAACAGGACGTTGGTGGGTAGGTTCGTTTGAGATGGGGGCGTGCTGATGGCACACCTGTGCAGGCCCCACGGAGGCCCCCTCCTCCCGTCCGTCTGGCTCAGAGACCTCAGATCTTCGGCCGGCTGCCAGACCTTGTCCCAGTGACGCTGGGTGTTTTCTCCGCGGCCACTTAAGAGGGCCGTCGGGGCACTCTGTAGGGGAGGGATGCCTCAAGGCTCTCTCGGATCCTTGGTCACAGGCCGTTTCGAAGCCTCCGTGATTGAGGAGCGGAGGAAGGCAGCGGAGGCCATGCTGCGCTTCACCGTCAACATTCCTGCCCTCAACAACAGCCCCCAGCTCAAGGAATTCTTCCGCGTACGTGTCTCCCCCGATCCCGGGCCCCCAGGGGCACCCCCACCCATGGCAGGAGCATCGCCCTGTCCAGACTCATAAGACCCCTTGGGAGCGGCCTTGTGCCTGTCTCTTCTGCCTCAGGCTCCCCCTCGGGTGGGATTCAGGGATCGCTAAGCTCCGGCTCCTGGATCTGATGACCCCTCCAAACTTTCTCCTCATGTAGGGTGGGGACGTGACCCGGCCCTTAGAGCCCAGTGACCTGCACATCCTGCCGCCGCCCCTGGTGCCCACCCCACCCCCGGAAGAGGCCCGCCTCCCCCAGCCTCTGCCAGCAGAGCGGCTGGGCCGGGAGGAGCTTGGGGATGAGAATGAGAAGCCAGGTACTGGAGCAGGCCCGTGGGCTGCTTCGCCCTGAGCGTGCCCCCCGAGGGCCAGCCCCTTCCTCACCCCCCCACTCCTGATGAGTGCTGTCCCGGCTCTCAGTTGTTACCCTCTTCCTCAGTGGCCTTTACGTTTATTTTTGGGGGCACGTACCTCTTGGAGAGGCAGTGTGGCACAGTGACTGGAGCACTGGGCTTGGACTCAGGAGGACCTGAGTTCAAATCCTCCCTCTGACACTTAGCTATGTGACACTGGGACGGTGGAGCTGGGCCTCTGTTTCCTCTGTAAAAGGAGGGTTGGGCAGAGGGCCCAAGGTCCTTCCCAGCTCCCTGGCATACAGCAGGCATCCAGTAAATGCTCAGTGACTTGCTGCCTTGGTCCTACCGTGAGGGGAGAAAAGGCAGCTCCTGGGGCAGCTCTACACAGGTGCAGACCCCTTGTGGCTTCTTTCCACAGGGGACCAGCCTCCCTCCAGCCCTGCCCAGGAGGCCCTCGATCTTCTGTTTGAC